TTCCAAACTCATGATAACCACGTACTTACCCACCCCGAAGCCACTTTTAAACCGCCAGAGCCATGCCCTTACACTCCCCGCTTTGATCTACTCGGACTGAAGAAGAAAAGACCTCCCAAAAACTACTGAGCAAGAGGAAATGATACGGAAGGTTAAGAGCTTAGAACAGTCATTCCGAAATATTATGCCATATTGATGATTGGAATGTAAATTTTCTTAAAGACCAGTTTAGTGATATAAGAAATCAAACCAATTCTAAGTTGTTGGAAGATAATCGTGCAATATAATCCCCTTACTTGCCCCTTAATTTACAAATTTTACAATATTTCATTGAGTTTCTTAGCTAGTTCAAGGGATCTATTATGATAAATAGAGTTTTGTACAACATTGAAACACTGACTCTACGTATTTCAAAAGTTGTAACTTAAAGTAGAAATACAAAAATGAAATATGAGTCTATAAGTTCATAACACAATATTCTTTGGGATCGTACTACTAAAAAACATCTGTTTATCGAAGCAGCAGTACCGACAGGCTTTTTTCTATCGCTACTCTGAGGGACTTTTGAAATATTAGATTAAGGTTACTGATTACCGTAGTCGCAAACCCACTTAAATATTCTTTTATCATTTTAATTTTAATTTAGCGACCGCGTCGGTTGCTTAGTGGGTCAACTGATATTTTTGACTTTTTAATGTCCGACCGAATCGGTTGCAAAAGTGAATGCGCAAAATTGGCGCGCTGTTTTCCCACTGCTTTTGTCGGAATAATAGTCGATTTTTTATTTTTAAAAGTAATAAAAATTCAATCTTTTTCCGACTACTGCGGTTGCAAAAGCAGTCCCATTAGCGACTGCTTCATTTCAGTCGGAAATTTCGGTCACAAATTGATGTTTTTCTAGTAGTGAATTTCCGACGGAGTTCCTCGGCACTTTTGAACTTTTTAATCTCTAATTTTTTTCTAAAAATAACCGACAGACAACTCTCGGTAAATAATGATACTTTGACCGGTCAAAATTTAGTTGGTTGTACAGATGCACTCCGTCGGTAAATTACCGACGGACTCTCTCGCAAAATTTTGAATTTATATTTTGAATTATTTTTTTAGGTACCGACGGTTTCTCTCGATGTATTTAGAAAAAATAAAAAAGAAAATAAAGTTATCGACGGACTCAATCGCTATTGAATTTACATAATATTTTGAATTTTGTTCTTACAGTACCGATGGACTTTTGTCGGTAATTTAAATATATAATCTTATACATTATTATTTGCATTTTTTTATTATACAATAGCGAGGGAGGTCGTCGGTAAGTCCCTCGGTAAGTATTTACATAATTATCTTAGTAATTGATTAGCTTATTTATTGAAAATTACACTAAGTGGAATTGTATTCATGATAATTACACTATTTAAAAAGATATTAGTGGTAATTAGCTTAGTAATTTATAATTACACAAAGTAAAAGTGAATTTGTTATATCCTTAACTGCATTGATTAACTTATACATTAATAATACAGACTAAGAAGAAGTGTATTAGTAGTTTTCGTAAGAAATATTAGTGATGGTTTATCTTATAAATTAATAATTACTGTTGTCACGACCCAAATTTCACTAAATGTCGTGATGGCGCCAGACACCACTGTCAGAAAAGCCAACCCAAAATATTTAATTAAATTCTCATTTTAATACTCTTGAAAACTATGACTTTTCTTCAAATTTACCAATTTAAGAAGATAATTGCTTCAAGTCAAATTAAATAATAAGTAATTAATACAAAAATGCTCCATAACCATCCCAGAACCCGGTGTCACAAGTGCATGAGCAATTTCTAAGAAAAAATCGAATAAAGTACAACAGCTGTCCGGAATACAATTGGACAGAAAATAAATAGAATCCTGAGAGAGACGATACTAGCTGCGGGTCGCCTCGAGGAAATATAGCTCACCTAGTCTCCGTGTCAACCATGCTGCTACGCCTGCTAAGCCATTAGTGGTGCATGTGCCTGTGCAACAAAAATGCACAGAAGTGTAGTATGAGTACAAAAACAACGTGTACTCAGTAAGTATCCCGCCTAATCTCGAAGAAGTAGAGACGAGATGGAAACTTCGACACTTACTAAAGGTCCAGTAATATTATTATTAATGCGATGACTCATGGATTTATTAAGAACAACAGTAGATTCAAGTAAATTACTAAACAGGTAAAAGTTCCTCTTTATTAAGAGTCTCCGGATTCATAATCCATTAATTAACAAATTTTCTCAAGTCGGGAGAGCAGATATTAGTATCAACAGATAAGCAAGCAATACAAGCATGCGCAACTCATAGCGAGGTCGTATGGTCCGATCCAACAATATTTAAAATGTGCATTGCCGAGGGTCGAGCGGCCCGAATCATAGATGCATCTATTACCCCGCTCGCGAATCATACATGCGACACGGTCAAATATAAATAAACACGACAATCAGCCAATCCTGAATTTATTAGGGAACAATTATCCAAGGAAAAAGCCAAATTCTCTTTTAACAATTCAAGAAACTGGAGTTTAATCTTCTTAGGAATTCATTTACCAATTCGATAGGATTTAAGAACTTCAATTGTCAATAAGGTCACAGATATTCCAAGTATAGCATGTTTTTTGGGTCCTAAACTACCCGGACTTACACATATTAGTAGCTACGCACGGACTCTCGTCACCTCGTGCGTACGTAGCCCCCACAAATAGGAGCACATAACCAATTATTTCACCTATGGGGACAATTCCCTCTTACAAGGTTAGAAAGGAGACTCACCTCGCTCCGAAGATCCATAACCAGCCTTCCACGCCCTTCTGAAAACTCAAATTGATGCAAAACGCTCCAAAACCAGCCAATAGTTATGCAAATCCATTAATATACCATAAACTACTCATATTAATCCAATTACAACAATTCCTAACCCCGATCGGAAAGTTGACAAAAATGCCCTCGGGCCCACGTGCCCGGATTTCCAAAATTTTCGAAGAATAAGTTTACCCAAAGCCTCACGAACTCAAATATATAATTTTCTCTAAATTCCATACCCAAAATCGCGGTCAATTTCCAAGAATATAAATTTCTAGGTCTTTCTACCAAAACCCCAAATTTCTACCAATTTACATGCTAAAATCCATACATAATCGATGTATTTAACTCAAGATGGATGGGATTAGCTTACCTTATCATTGATGATGAAAATACCCTCTTGAAACTCTCCAAGAATCGCCCAAGCCAAGAAGATATGAGAGAAAATGGCCAAATCCCTATTTTAAAAGAACTATTCTGCCTCCAGCACTTCCGCTCCTACGGTCCCTTGACCGCTTCTGCGGTTCCGCAGGTGCAAGCCAACCTACTGTCGATGCCCCCTTTTTCTCGCGAAATCGGGTTTATGACATTTGGGCGGACAACTCGTTTCCTTTTGGGAATTGGGTTTGAATTGAAGAGTCTCCACCTAATGATTAAGTGCATTGGGACACTGAGAAGAGTTTTGATTTAGAAAACCAGAGATTGGGTAAGGGCTTGAAATTATCCCGAGGGGAAGGTGTTAGGCACCCCTCAAGATCCACTAGTGTGGTTCCCGACCATGCTATAATCATGACTTTAAGTGCAAATAACAAGCGAGAATTACAAATACAAGGAAGTTTTCACATGATGGTTGCGAGCAATTGAAATTAAAAGAAATTAAAGAAGCTGAAGTTTGGGAAGAAAGTAGTCTTTGAAATTCTGAAAATAAACAAGTAAAGGGAAGGGGTTTTCACATAATTACTGCAAGTAATTGAAGTAAAAAAAAAAAGATTAAAGAAGCTGAAATTTGGGAAAAGCAGTCTTTTAAAAATAAACAAGTAAAGGGAGGGGGGTCCTAGGTTTATAAATAATATGGATCACCCCACACAACACCCGGTAACCGTTTATACACGTGGTGTTATCGCATGGTCATCATATCCATATCTACCCTTTCCCACCCCGTTAAGGTATTAAAAAGCGGAATAGTCTCGTTTTCTATTGCATGCTACTACCGCCCCAATCCTATCAGTCCCGGAGGTCTTTGGGACTACTAATCCTAAAGGGAAGGGATGTGAGGTTTCATAGTTTCAAAAGACAAAATTCTAAGGCGACAATCAAAACACGTATGTAACAAATA